AGGACCCCCTTCTCCACATTCTGAGAAGGACAGTGCTCGGTGCTAATCTACAAGGACAGCGTCCTCTGTCCTCAGAGCACCGGCAGGGTTAAAGACGACCAGCACTGTTGTAGATCTAATCCCGTTAAGCCAGCCCATGTTATACAAGGCACACTCCCAGTTTAGTTTTCCCTTCCTTCTCCTCTGCCTGAAACATGGTTGCCAATCTAGGAGACCGCAAGATGAATATACCGATGTCAGTGTGGCCATATCTCCAGCTGAGATAGAGGTTTCTGAACACCTGATGCCCTTGTTATACTTGCCTCGTTGTTTGGTCTTAGTGGCAAAGATGAGCTTGGCCCTGAGAAGCAATGGGTACAGGCAGAGGGGCAGAGGGGCATGTTTAGCATTGCAAAGTGATCAGGCTTGGCTTGCAGAAGTTTCTTGAGAAAAAGGAAGTTTTCTTTTCTATAGAGAAGGGGCACGTCTTCTCTTCTAGAGAGAAGTAAAAGTGAAAATCATTTTATCGTGTTCTGTTTCTCAATTGAAAAGGCCTGTTTTTGGTTACCTGGGATCCTGCCTACTGAAACGGTGCTCCCATCCCGCCTCCACCCCTCCTCCTTCTGCTCTCTCTTCTTTTTGTTCTGTTTGTTCCAAGAAGAATCTGTGATTCTGCATTGTCTATGCGTTCCCTAGATGTTAAGCGATCAAGCAAAAGGCAGTGTAGCCTAGCTTAATGGGCAAGGATGCAGAATGCAAGGCCAGTATGCCTAAATTCCGATCCCTCTCAGCTTATACGCATGGGCAGCTACTTAACTTCTCTGTACCTGAGTCTCTTCATCTGTAAAATATGGATGATAATAATAATAATGGTTGTAACCCTATAGGGTCCTTATGAGGATTCAGGGAAGTTAATACACACAAAGCACTTTAGAGCAGTGCCGAATACTTGGTAAGTGATGTTGTGTTAGTTGCCATTTTTTATTGAGCATGTACTATGTACTAAGAACTTTGACATGAAAAATCTCACTTAACCCTTTGAAAGTAAAAAGAAAGTAAAAGTGTTAGTCACTCAGTCGTGTCAGATTCTTTGTGACCCCACGAACTATAGCCCGCCAGGCTCCTCTGTCCATGGAATTCTCCCAGGCAAGAATACTGGAGTGGGTTGCTATTCTCTTCTGCAAGGGATCTTCCTGACCCAGGGACTGAACTCAGATCTACTGCATTGCAGGCAGATTCTTTACCATCTGAACCACCAGGGAAGTTCCTCCTTTCACCTTTACAGCTCCCCTATAAAGAGGATATTTTAAAAGCTCTTCTCCAGTAGTGACACTGAGTGTGAGGGAATTCCCTAGTGGTCCTGTGTCTTGGACTCTGCACTCTCACTGCTGAGGGCTCAATCCCTGATCGGAAAACTAAGATCCCACAAACCTCTTGGCGGAGCCAAAATAAAGAAGTAACTGAGGCTAGAGAAAGATTGTGGACGTAGCAAAGTCGCTTAACCATTAAGTGACCAGTATGGAATTCAGACTCAGATCCTTCCGATTCCCAACTCGGTGCTGAACCACCGCGCTCCCAGTGTGAATGGATCTGAATGCCGAGCACTGCAGTGGGATCTGGGCTCAGGACTGATGCTCTGTTAACGAGGTATCCCCTCTTTACAGATAAGATCTCACACCAGGCTTCAGCTTCCTAGACTTGCTGAAGTTTCTCCGTCAGTTCTTTGCCCGTCAGATTGCCAGTCCTTTTATGCTTTTCCAGTATCCAGCCTGACTATCTTCTAATTCTCCGCTCCCTCAGGATAAATCTTTTCTATACAGAATAAAGCTGGCCTCCAGGGTAGAAAATTACTTGGAAGGTTGTTTCCCTCAGCAATTGACTCAATTTCTTCTGAGCAGCTGGGTGGTAATAGGGCTTCATTCCACACCTGGGTGGAAATCTGAAGAGAGCATGTGAAGATGCAGAGCTAGCAAAACCTAAGATGCTCTTCCCGGAATGTAGCGTGGCACCCTCTGTTCTATTCACCCCAAGACCTTTGAGGTTGGTTGGAAATGTCCCTGTGGTCTTTACCTGACCTGCTGCTTAAACAGTTTTTCAGCCTGCCTGTGTCGAGGCCACCTTGCAGTGGTGGCCACCAGATTCACCCAGGTCCCATGGGGGCTGCTGCTCTGGCCACCTGCCTCGTGCTCTCCAGCTTGCCGGGCAGAGCTTCCGGAAACTGAAATCGTATTTCGTGCCCCCTTCCTTAACACACTGGCAGGTTGACGAAGCAGTGACCCCTGCTTGCCACGTGCCCACCTCACTGCAGCTCTAGCCTCATCCCCCTTCGTAGACTGGCTTTGTTCTCTCATTGTGCAGGGGACGTCCCCCCTCCCTGTCCCCCCCACCCCCAGAACCCTGACAGCGCTACTCCCCATTCAGCTGTGGCCTCTGCAGCTGCTCCTGTCCTTCCAGGCCGAGCCAGATGCCCCCCACCATGACCCCACGCCCCTCTCCTCCACAGCCGTGGTCTAGTCGTAGTGCCCACTCAGGCCTTCGAGCCCCTCTGCTCTTTGCATCTGTAGCCCGTTTCGCTGGTGTTATCTTCCCAGTGCCTGGCACAGCCAGGCACTCACCAAACGGTCACAGCGACACTGATGGAAAGAAGGCCGTGCATACCTTTCTCCGTGGCAAAAAAGGGTGATATTCCTAGATACCCTGAGGGGCCCCTCTAGGACTCTTGGTGTCCCCTAAGGAAGTGTCCACATTTCAGACCAGACAGTTGCATGAGCTTCCTGAACTCTCCAGTGCCAGGTTCATTCCACTGTAACCGAGGGCACACTGCCTGATCTTTCCCCTCTGCCCTTGGCCCACCTGGTGGTTGTTCCCAAGTGACCTGTCCACCCGGATGCGAGGATGTCATTGTCACCTTGTCTAGAAGCTTCAGAGCTAAGGAGGGGGGGAATCATGAACTCCCACACTCTGGGTCTGACCAACAGTCCTCCAAGGGCTCCACCTCTTTAGAAGTTCTTTGATGAGTAACCAGTCATCCCAGCAGTCCACTGACCCTTCATTATCAGAGCAACCTTTTCTTCATGCATTTTGTACAAGGAAACTTTATACTTTTTGTTGATTTGTAAGGAAAGGGTAATTAATTTATGCTTCCCTGGGGGCTAGACAGGGATACAGATAAAAACAGCTTATGTTGATTGAGCACTTACTGTTTGCCAGACACCGTGAGAAACACATTCCATGGACTAGTTTACTTAGTCCTTGTGAGTAGGTATAGATCTGTTCGCTTCCTGCTTTACAGAATAGAAACGAAGGCTCAGAAAACTTAAGTGACTTATGCAAGGTCACGCAGCCATCAGTGGTGGACCTGAAATCCGGGCCTAGAACTGCTTGTTCTCGAGTGCGTGCTCTTAGCTCCCACGCTGCTTTGCCTTCCTCGGGTTTTACTTGCAGGTTATGAGATATTTGGCACAAAGCAGCATGTCTTCCTGCTCCCCATCACGGACTAGCCTGTAGCCAGTTCACTTTTTAAGCCTGTTTAAACCGTTTTGTGTTTAAGATGTAAATAAAAAGCATGGCACACAACGTTTCATCAAGTCTAGTCCTGTGAAATTATATTGTTAATTGTGTCTTTTAAAAGATAGGTATGTCTTCCATTTTTATTTTGATGTTTCCTTCTTAACGTTTAATAAGTTACCCATGGCCGTTGAGCATGTTTAGAAAAGCAGCATCAGTTATGGGGGTCCTAGGCTTGTGCGCCCCCAGATACATCCCTTCCTCTGATCTACGGTTTTGCAGAAGCCTGATCCCTGCCGGCTGCGCGCCTCTGACTTTTCAGCCAATCGGAGCCTTTGATGGGGTGAGGGGCGGGGTTTAAGAAAGAGCCTGGGTATTTCCCTCCCTCCGTCTCTGCCCCCTGCAGCAGCTGTGGTTCCAGCTTCCTGCTAGGCAGGCTCACCTTGCCCCCAGCTTCCACCAGGTGACCCAGTCCCTTTGGGCTCCATTTACCTCTTCCTTTTGTCTCTCCAGCCTTAGGATGGTGGTGGCTTCCTGCTCCTCCTGTCTCTGGGCTGTACTATTTTCCTCTGGGAACCTTCCACCCCTGTGCACCCAGTTGCTTCAGTGAAATGTTCTCTGTTGTAAATAAATAGGGCTTTCCTTTCTCCATGTTGGACTCTGTTGTATATTCCAGTATTCTCACACGTGATTGCAGTGCCGTTTGTTCTGGAGGCATGGAAGATGGATGATATGATTGGGTTAAAATCCTCTGATTAAAAGAAGCCAGAGTGTTTGTGTTCACCGTGGCTGTGGTGTTAGGGCAAAACCCTGCCTGGGGTGTCCAGTGTCTACTTAGTTCTAGCTGAGTCACTCGGGGGTTTAGAATCACTCAAGTCAGAGCCTCAGTTTCTTGGAAAATGGAAGTGCTCCTCGGGGTCCTTCCTGGCAGCCCCGTGAGCTGGCTGTAACTCCTTCCAAACCAGAAGAGTTGTAGGATGCAGACTCGAGTTTCTGTGGGGACCAGAGAGTTGCTTCCATCAGTGAGGTGGGCCCTGACTCCAGCCATCTGCCCTTCTGAGACGTGCCGTTGGTCCCCCAGGGACCAGGGGACGGAATGTGGGTGAGCTGGGGCCGCTCTGTCTCCGCCCTGGAAAGAACCTCAAACGGTCTTTTCTGGCCTGACCCAGGGGATTGGTGTTCACTGGGGCACAGCACACTCACAGAGCATGTAGTGCAGAAATACAGTATACTGCTCAGCTGTCCTGATTGTGGGTCTAACAGTGTTTCAAAGATGCTGTTTCATACAATCACCTTAAGTATAAAACCAGTAGGCAGAGTGTGCAGATGGCATTTGTCTGATGTAATATATTGTCTCTTTCTTCATTTTAAGCACAATCTTGTATTCTCTAAACACCATTAAAAAAAAAAAACTTTATCTCCCATTTGTTTGTGTGTATGCATATATATTGGGGGCCTGGGTATCTTAAATAACTTTGATTTACTAAACTTCCCTCCTCCTCCCCCACCCCCAGCCCTTTCTTTTCAGAAGATACCTTTAGACAATCACCATTCACCTCCAATTCAAAAGACCTGCTGTCCAGTGAATCTGTGCTTCACGGAAGAATATCAGCTCCAGGTATGGAGAGACTGTCGCTTTTGCTTCTACTACTGGTTGCTTGAAAATTACTTTTCTGAAATGCGTGGATTTTCAGATACATTCGGCTTGTAGGTTGAAGGTATTCATATGAAGCTTGGTTTTTGAAAAGAGGGAGAAACTCAATTTAAATAGCCACAAACGTTTGTTAAAAGAAAATGCAGACAGTAATAAGGCTATTCTTCTTTGCTGCGGGAGCTTTTTGTTCTTGACCAGCTCATGCTTCATTCGTAGAGTGAATTCCTTTGAAAGAGCGAAGTATAACCTGGAAATAATTTGCTGTCAATGTTGTCAGTATTTTAGGCAGGCAACCGGGAAGATAGACGAGGGCGAGGGCAAGACTGCTAATCGCAGACAGGGAAGGTCATGACCCTGGGGGAGTGTGGGCCACCACAAAGACCTCTTTGGTTTCCATGGCAGCAACACAGCTTGTTAAGACGGTCTTGCCACCCAGATATTGCCTCTCTTCTTAAAGGATCTGCATAGATCCATCTCCCTCTCCCTTTTGCCACCTCAGCATCAGTGCACAATTTCCTCATCGTGCTTCCTTTTTCATTGCTCCCTTCCATGGCAGAAGGAAAGATGTGCTTGCTCTCCTCTTACCAGCAACCTGGCATCCCTCAGGGCTTCTGTGTGCCCTCTGAGAGTTGTCATGAAATGAGAACGTTTGAGAGCCCCTGTCCTGGAACCCGCCCTCCCTGCCCACTCCCCATCACTATCCCAACAGCAGGCCAACAGCCAGGAAACTTTCAGCTCCCAGGAACTGAGAGGATTTCAGAAGCTCTCGGTGGTATCCGCACCCATGCATTTGTCCAGGAGAAACCAAGGCCATGTGTTTGCAGGAAGGGCTCACAGCAGGGTGGTTGGCTGGGAATTCCCACAAGAATAAAATCCAGGGTCCCCCTCACATGCAAGGAACCCATGTCATGGATTCAGATGGCTGTAAAGCTGAGCGTTTTTCGATTCAGAAAGGGCCGAGTTGCATCTTCTGAGATACTGGCTTGTGGGTGTCACAGGTTGTTGGAAGTGGTTCGTGACAAACCGTGGGGAAGAAGCCACTCTTTGTCATTCTTCAGTCTTGTGGTGGCAGATCTATTTCTCCTCATCTCCAAAGAGTCCCGGTACCTGCAGGCTTGTTAGCCTCGCAGGGCTATTCAAACGCCATAAATAACATGCTTACACAAAAACATATTACATAATACCTGGTTCTAGAGGTGGAAAGAAATTCTGCTTAGTTGATGTCTTCATTCTCAAACAGGGGCTATTTGAACTACTGTTTACTTCCCACAGTGTCATTTTGAATAGCTATCTCCCCAGTCCCCAAATTATCACCCTGCTGTTAAGTTGATGGATTGTGACTTTCTAATGTCAAAATAACTGCCTAGGAATTGCCTGTCAGAGTGCTGTGACCCATACAGCCAGCATCCTGTGATGTATATACAAGCCCTGCATTGCTGGCTTAATGTTTGACTTGGCTATATTTTAAGAAGGGTTTATTAGTCAAGTTACAGCTCAACCTCAAAGAGTAATATGTTTAACTGTGTGTGTTGTGTGGAGGGGGGAGTGGAGAGTTTCCTGTGATTTGCTTGACAGACTTTTATGATAAATTAGATAAACTCACACTTTAAAAAACTTAACTCTTATTTTGAGGGGAAGAATCAGCACAACTTGGGTTTTCAAAATGCAAATCCACCATTCTGAGGGATGGCCCATCTCTGCTCTTGAAAGAGCCTTTCTTTAGGCAGAGGATAAGCGAAATGACGATATTTAAAATTTTCCAAAACAGACCATTAAAAGGGGGCCTTTTGTAAAATATACTGTAGAAATGGAGTTAAAATTAGAAAAATTAGAAGTGGTAAAGACAGCCTGGTGACCACAGAGTTCTCATTATCTGCTTTGAATGATATGCTTTGCTTCAGATGAGGTATGTGTCCTATCTCTTTGAAGAAGTGCTTTGTAAGAAAAAACCTTGATAATTTGGACTAATTGTGGAGAAAACCAATCTAAACAAAGGATTTTGCAGTATGGAGACTTTTCAAGAAAACGTGTCTTTGACATCTGGACAGTGATAAATGGCCTTTGTATACCACCTACTTGAGCTCCCCAATCCCTTACCCACAGTTCTGAAATGCACAATTTTTTGAATAAGTTGCTTGGTGGCAAAACCTTATGGGAGGCTATTTATAGCCTTTACGTATTATGCCAAGGGTGAAATTCGTACATTTTGTTGCAGAAATATCAATGTGCTTGATGATGAAGGCCCAGTGGAGTGTAACATAAAATCATGCCTTATGTACCACATTATCACCCAGAAATCAGAAGAAGTGTGAATCCCAAAATGCGTCAGGCCGCAGAGGTCTCAGATAGATGTCATAAACCTATGTTTATTCTGGGACTTTGATAAGTGCAGTGCTGGGAACAAAGAAATTTTGAAGCTACAGTTAAAGATCTTAAGATTCTAGGGTATAAGAATCATGAATTCCTATAGAAAATAGAAGGAGTTGCCCAGTGGAGATGCTCTAGTACCAGGTTAGCATTGTTAATGAAGGCCTGTTGTGGTTCAGTCAGTCAGTTGTGTCCAGCTCTGCAATCCCATGGACTGCAGCACGCCAGGCTTCCCTGTCCTTCACTATCACCCTGAGTTTGCTCAAGCTCATATCCATAGAATCGATGATGCCATCCAACCATCTCATCCTCTGTTGCCCCCCTCTACCCTCTATCTTTTCCAGCATCAGGGTCTTTTCCAAAGAGTTGGCTGTTCACATCAGGTGGTCAAAGTATTGGAGCTTCGGCTTCAGCATCAGTCCTTCTAGTGAATATTCAGGGTTGATTTCCTTTAGGATGGATTGGTTTGCTCTTCTTGCAGTCCAAGGGCTCAAGAGTCTAATGAAGGCCTGGATTAGAGAAAAGAAAGAGGGGGATAGGACAGGCAGGCAACAAGCTAGTTGACTAGTTTGGAAGACTGGTTAGCTTTGTTGCAAGCATGTTGAATTAGGGACTGATGGTGACTGAGCAGAAATGGGGAAGCCAGGAAGGAAAAAGCCTGCTTTAGTGACTAGGCAGAAGATCATTGGTTGTTAGTATATAAATAAGAGCCTCAGCATCCTTAGGTACCTTCTCTTGAGTAATTTAAGTGTCACCATTAAAATATTATTTTTATTCTTTATTTACTTGGCAAACTTCTTGCCACAGATCATGCAAAGATAAGTGTCAGCCTGGAGAATGATCTCAGATTCTCGATTAGTGGAGACTATAATTAATGAGGTTTAATGTGCCTAGTCCAGATCCAAGAAAGCCGTTTGCAAATGCTGAAAACCCCTGGCTTTCATTCAACAATATATATTGGCATGTGTTTAGATACCTCTGTCAATGGAATGAAAAGGCGTCTCCCAGGCGCCTTTGGAGTGAGACCATGGGGCAGGGGAGTGTATCCCGAGAGAGGATCATTCAAGGTCTGGCAGCTCCAGGCCGAAGGGGTGCAAGCAGGAGCTGGTGATTATGCTTCAGGCCCGTGGATGAACGAAGCAAGCGGTGTGGGAGAAAGCAAAGTGGGGAAGATGGTAGCACCGCGGATCATGGGGAACTCGAGAATAGCACAGTTAACTAGGCATTTGCCTCCGGCAGATGGTCTCTGAGACACACAGCTGCCACCATCCCAGAGAAATAGAATAAACACAGAGCTACATGGTGTCCTGGCCCCGGTTGTTGCCACTATTTCTAGACTGACTTTCCTGAGAACCAAAGAAGGCTCACGAGCCAAGACCTAACATTTTTACTTGCTGTGAACGTCTTAGGCAGAGGTAACACCAAGAATCTGTAATAAAACAATAAGTTAAAAGCTGCTGTCCCCTTCTGCTGGAGGGACGGGGGGACAAAATATCTTCCGGAAGGCTGTGAATAGATGGCTGAGTGATCCCTGGGCAGTGCTGTGTCTGATGGGGATTATACAAAAGAAATAAAAGAGATTTCCTATTCTGACGGAGATAAAATTACAGACTGTGCATAATTTAATGTACTTTGTCTAATTGATAGTTGTCTCACTTTGTAAAAGATTTACAGTAATAGAGGAAAGATTCTGAGGTCTGGAGGGGGCGGCGTGAAGGGCAGATCTGTTTGAGGGGTAGCCCCAGAACCACTGTACCTGCAGCTCTGTCTGCTTTCCCATCCTCTTTCTGAAGCAAAGGCTATTAAAAGAAAGATTTACATCCCAGCACTGCTTTTCAGCAATGTGGAGCTTCAGTTCTGTTTTATTATGATTTTGAAGTCACAGTGTGTTTGCTGTGTATTAAGCCACAAAACAAAAACACAAGCAGAGCGGGTGCGAAGGGAAATGCAGGTCTCCATGGAATTCTTGCACTGTGTTTGGAGTCACTGATGCTTCTGTTATTTCGAACGGAGCTTAGAGTCAGACACTGCAAAACATATCAGCAATTGTATTTGTCAATCCGTTCCCCCACTATTTGCTAACTTCCCTTTGAAAAAAGAAACTCTTTTTTTCTGGTTATTGGTTATGTCATCCAAACAAGAAGAAAAGAACATGGGCGAATCTAGTTCTTTTCAAGACTGGATGTGCCAGTCAGGTTTGATGTAAAATAAAAAGATGGATTTGGAATGGTCTGCCTTGTCCCCAGGCCAATTCTTGGTCCATTTTCCTCTTTCTCTTCTGCTCATCAATCTAATACAAGTTGTACCATGTCATATATAATTTTCTGAAATCTAAATTAATGGTGCCTTGCATTAGAATGCCACCAGCGACTAAGTGATGGCCTGCAATGCTACTGACCAGATAGGAATGACCTCTCAGGCAGTGGGTTAAAAGATATGCATGTCACATTTCTTTATGTTAAGATTTCCCAGCTCCTTTCTCGAGACAGAGACATACCAAGCTTTTCTGGGTTACAGCAAAGTGTTTTCTTCAATCCCTTTTCAAACAAAGCAGAGTCTTTTAAAATTCAGACTAAGTCATGAACAAACTGTAGAAC